TCGCTCCGGCAGGACGATTTGTCACCCAACCTGCAGCAGGTCCTGCCTCAGGCTAGAGTGACGCAAGGCAAGACCTTGGCGAGCAGGTCTTTAACGAGACCATCTGGATCGGAGAGGTTGACCCCTAATTCCTGAATCCCCAGGCCACCTCTGTGGAAGGACCAGGTCCCCCTGTGGGTACCAGTTCAGGTAAAAGGGTTTCGCTGGATCTCCAACTTGGCTCCACGGCCCCCTTAGAAAATGCTCCAAGCAAGGTCCAGGTGCCCCTCTCCAAAATGACCAGACCTGCTTGCGCAGACCCAGCCGCTCATTCGGAAGTAAACTGCAGATGCCTGGTACAGGTCAGCTGGGGTGAAGATGGCCTTCTTATTTGGCAGGTGACATCTGTGGATAATTTAAAGTTCACTAAGAGGGAGTTTTGGTGAAAGAGCACGGCAGTGCTGTGGTCTTCTTTTATTCCTTACATTTCTGTGGAGGGCTTTGGCTCTTCCTTAGTTGGACAGTAATATCAATGTCCTGAATGTGCAGGTCCACCGAGATGACCGGTGTCCTTCCCAATGACAGTTCCTCCAGGTTTGCTCACTGTTCTGCCAATCACAGGGTCTCTTTCCAGCTCCTCCCATCCACCCATTCTTCCTTCATTAATTCATTCAACAAACACCACAGCTCTATCCTGGGCACGTGGTGGATGCCCATGAATGCCCAGACAAAACTCCCAGAGTTGGCACTCCTTCTGCGCATCCCTGCTGAGGGGGGGTGGTGGCTGACACCGGGATGTCCCGTGGTGGAATGCCACTCCCTGTCAGGGGCAACCCTTCGTTTGAATTCTGGAAAACTAAACCTTTGGGGTCCAAAGAAATGCATGGAAGACTGTGGGTGGGATGGGCACCCAGGGGCCAGGGGTCCTGTCCAGCACCCCCTCCCATGTCCTGATGGGGGTCCAAGGCAGGTGTATAGGGGAAAAAAACCAGGTTTCCCGATTTTAAGTCCAAACCCAGACTTTTGTAGACTGGGGTAGCAGATGTTACCAAGAACAGAGTGGGCTCAGCGCTCACCGACTTGGGGAACATACCGGACTCTGTTTGCCATTCCAAGCCAAGGAGACCGGGGTGGGGTGGACGCTGGGCCTCAGAAACACACCTTGGGGAAACACGGATGCTGCCTCACCTCAGAACGCTTGGCCAGGGCCAGGCTCCCCACTCTCTGAAAGACTTGCCCATGGAAGAAGGATTAGGGGCTTTTCCAGTTTTCCAGGAAAACGGAAGCTATTTCAAATGCGCTTCTGTTTCTGTACAGAAAGAGCAGATCATGCCCAAAGGTTTCAGGTTCCTGCTCAGATTCTCAGGGAGAGTTTGAGAAGGACCGGCCTCGGGGAGGAGGGAGACCCTGATTCCGTCTAGAAACCCTCCTGTAGGTCAGGGAACTGGGGCTGCCCTGAAGCCCAGAGTCTGGGGTTCGTCTGGAAGAGGCAGAATCCCTGGTGGTGGAAACAGCTGCGTGGTTCTGGCACCTTCTGCGGGTTTCCACTGCCAACTCGAAGTGAAAGACAGTGATCTAGCCTCAAGGTCATGGCTAGATCTGTTTGCAGCCCACAGCTTTTGGACACCGGCTCGTCTGTCACATCCCATGCAGACAGCTCCCACGACACTGTTCCGTTTTCCAGACGCCACGCTGAGGTTCTGAGGGCAGTGATGACCACAGAGCGCCCAGGAGTCGGGTTCCCCGTGAGAGCTGTAGCCACTCAGCAGGTGCATCGTTTAGACTGGATCGACAATGGGACATCTGCTGGGGAAGTCCCCAAAACAGAAGGAGGGAGGGGGGCACAGCTGCAAAAGAGCTTGTGTCCTTTTTAAAGTTGTCTTCCAGCCCCACCTTTGTGCAGCCGGGTGCAAACGACCATGTTCCTAACGCACTTCTCCCCGGAGTGGCTGGAGGGCTGGGCAGGGGGCGGGTCTGTCTCACAGGGTCACTTTGGTGATGCTGGTGGACATGGCAACTCACACTCGGTCAACATGCCGTCCAGGGGGCCCGCAGGGGATCCCACGGATACTTTGTGGGGGAAGGGCGCCCCAAGTATCACATCAGCCGATCTGAAGATAAAACAATAAAGTTCTTCAATTAAAAAAGCAACTACACACAATGCCGTCCAAGAGCAGGATCGGAAAAGCATAGTTTTTTAAATTAAGAATTAAAGTAAATGAAAACCAGAGGATATCTAAGTCCACTCTAAGATGAGGAGTCCGGCCTTGAACTGGGCGCCCCTGGCCGGTCAAGGGCTGGCTGGAGCTGTCTGGAATGTTGTAGAAGGATCTCTCCAGCACAGTCCTCCCGCTCGGCGTCGGAATCACTGGTGCTGGTTGAAGGTGAAGGCGCCTGGGCCGTGGCCGGGGACACTGACCTGGGACGCCCCCAGGCAGCCGGGGATCTGCTGGTGATTCTTCATGTTCCAGTGTCTGAGAATCGCTGGTCCCTGCCTGGGGCTGGAGCTGGCCAAGCTGCCACTCACCCCATGACCTGATGGATGGGTGGATCCGGGACGGTTTTCTTTATTTTTCAAGATGCTTATTTTTAAAAAGTCACCATCTTCTTTGCACCCAGAATTCCTCAGCTAAAGCTTCCCCGCCCCTGGCCCACCTCACCTGCAACACCTGCCTGCGGGTGCCCCTGGTGCGGGACTCTCCAGGACACAGGTGAGCAGAAGTGCCTACCTGCTCCTGTGGCCCTAACGTCCCGTTTCCACACACTGCCCGGCGGGCTTTGTGATTTTTTTTTTATATATAAAAACGGGAGTGTGGTGAGAGGGGAAGGGTCCTGGGCTTTGCTAACACATCCGTTCTGCCTTCTGAGCGCAAAGGAGGGCGGGCGCAAGGGGAGTTGGCGAGGACCGAGGACCGTGGGGCTGCAGGACCGGGCTGTGCCCAGGGAGGCCGGGCTGGGGGCCCTACAGATGCAGTTGGTGCCACATGGCAATCTGCCTGCGGGGGTTTTTGAGCATCTCCTCCCAGTGGCTGCGCTCGGAGCCAGAGGCGTGCAGGCCCAGGCTGCAGTGGCCCAGGGCCCAGCTCTGGCCCGCCTCGGCCTGGCTCAGCACCTCCAGCTCCACACTGGACGCCCTCAGCAGGTCGTCGGGCAGCTCGAACATGATCATCTCGTTCCACACGGGGTTGATCTTGTGCTTGGCCCGTTTTGTCTGCTTCTTCTTCAGCTTCTGAGCCTGGTGCTTCAAGGTCACCTTGACAGAGACATCTGAGGAGGGGCAGGGAGGAAAGAGAGACAGAGAGAGGCCAAGTGAGCTCCGGGGTCCTCTCCACCCGCCCCCTGGGCCACGTGTTCCTTCAACATCTATTAAGTGCCTCCCACATGGTGGGCGCTGGTCTAGACGTGGGGATCCAGCAAACATGTCTGCCTCTCTAGAACTTTCTCTGAAGCATGGGAAATGGCCGGTAGCGGTTGAAGATTCCTTATCCAAAACACTCGGGCCCACCAATGCTTCAGAGCCGGAAGGCTTTTCCGATTTTGTCATATTTGCATAGTCATATCTAGACATCTTGGGCATGAGACCCAAGTCTAAACATGAAATTCGTTTCATAGGCACCTCATACACACAGCCTGAAGGGGATTTTATGCAATTTTTAAAATAATTTTGTGCAGGAACCAAATTCCATGGTGTAGAATTTTCCATTTGTGCTTAAAGTTTCAGATTTTGGAGCACTTGGTAGTTTGGGTCTTTGGATCCAGGTGCTTACCTATACCATAACTTAGGATGCTGGTCATAGGATGGTCCCTATGGGGGCCTGGTAAGGTGCCACCAGGAGATGGATATGAAGTCACTTGCTCTGAGCCCGTCTATGTAACTTTGTATCTTTAGATCAAAACAAGTCCAGAACAATGGCTCAGCTAGATTCTAAACTCAGACCAGAAAAGCAATGCCATCCCCAGGTCCCTGTCCCCTTGAGGGTCCCTCCAAGCCGTCTTGTTTATTATTGAGGCAGCGGGGTCTCCTGCTGCCTGGTGTAGTGCTCCCACTGCCTGGTGAGGTGCTCACCTGTACTTTCTGCCAGTTTTCCTTTGAGGACTCCCGCTTCCTGTGGAAGGTGAAGGCAGATGGCCTGACCCCCACCGGAGGCTCTGTCCAGTAGCGCTGTCCCCCAGGAACCCACCCATAGGTCTCCAGACAGCTCTCCTTATTTCATTAGTCAAGGTTGCGGAAGCTAATGTGAGGATAATTGTTACTGTGTATTTATTGCTGTAATTATCACCCCCGGGTGGTTAGTTTGTTATTTCAGCAGAGAGATTTCAGAGACAAAGTGCTGAGCTATAATTGTTCTTACAGAGCTGAGAGAGAGAGAGAGAGAGAGAGAGAGAGAGAGAGAGAGAGAGAGAGAGAGAACTAACTGGAAGGGACAAGGACAAAGCGCTGAACTCTGACCTTGGGCTCCAGAATCTTCCAGCAAGCTCAACCCTTCTGATTTTATTCGCCCAAAATCTTTTGCTCAAAGATTCAGAACACAGTGGCAATTCTATCTTTGTATCCTTCTATAAATAGAGACTTATTTCTATCTTGTTATGAGCACTTGGATCCCAGTTCAGGAAGGCCCTGCTAACCTGGGCTGCTCTCCTGCTCTGACAGGTCCCCAAGACTTGGGATCAGCACTTTGGTCCCCAAGACTCGGGACCTGTGCTGGGGTATCTAGAAGGGAAAAAATAAGGCTTCCAAAATGTTGGAAAGGGGCCTCTGTGGATATGTGGGGCACAGATGCCCTAAGCCTCGGGCCTCAGCCTCACCCACACGCCTTCTGCCGTCGCCCACACTCAGCGGGTGTGGGGGGGACAGCTGGCCAAGGCTGAGAAGAGAGACTGGGGAGGGCGTAGAGTGCAGTGTGGCTGGCGGAGACAGAGGACCTGGCCTTCCCCACAGCACCGCCTGCCCCAGAGGTGTGTCCAGCCAGGCCTGGGTTCCCGACAGCCCAGGAGCTCTGCTCCCAGGGTAGAGGCTGATCCTGGTGGATGGCCAAGGTCGGGAGCCCCGGGTAGCTCCTACCAGGCCCAGGAATGAATGGATGGGACTCCAAGAAGTGTGGCCTTCAAAATTAGTTACCCCTTTAGGTGGAGGCCCCATCTGAGGATGACTTGGAGGGTCATGTAGGAGGGCGAAGGCAGCCGGGGCAAGATGGCGAGGGAGGAGGCCGGGGGCAGGGCCAGAACAAAGGAGCACTGAGCAGGCCTTCTGATGAGGTCACCTCCCTGATGGACAAAAGTGCTCCTGGACACACGCGGGGACCCCATCAGACAGACACTTCCGCACTCATGCCTCTAAGTGGGATCCAAAAGAACAACGGAGACAGACACATGGACAGGGGTGGGGGACGCCGATCAATAACAGTGAGGAGCACATGGACAGGGGTGGAGGCTGGCCCGGAGGACACTCCAGAGACCACAAAAAGAACAGGTGAAAGCTCCCCCACCAGACTCCTGGCTCCAGGGCCCCTTGTCTTTGGGGAAGTCTGTCCGTGTCGCTTTTGCCATAAACCTGCTCTTGCTCGTCATCTCTGGGTCCTGTTCTTTTTATTGGGGGAGGGGCAGGCACCAGGGATGAAGTTCAGGGGCCCTTGACCACTGGGTCACATCCCCAGGCCTGTTTTGTACTTTATTTAGAGACAGGTCTCACTGAGTGGCTGAGCGCCTCACTAATCTGCAGAGGCTGGCTTTGAACTCGCGATCTTCCTGCCTCAGCCTCCTGAGCTGCTGGGATTATAGGCGTGGGCCATGGCGCCCGGCTTCTGGGTCTTGTTCAATTCTCTGCTGAGCGAAGACACTGTACCCAGCACCCCTAGACGGCAACAGATTGAGAACTGTGCTCCTGTTCTGCCTTCCTGCGCTCTGACCCCATTTCCCTGGTGCCCCCCCACACCCCGGCAGCAGCCCCAGCCTCCCCCAGCCTTACCCTTCCCCAGCAGCTCCCGGGCCTGGCTGGAGTGCAGGTTCTTGGCTTTGATCAGCACCACCAGGAGGCGGTTGGCGGCCGGGAGGTAGCTGATGGACAGGAGGACCTCTCCAGCTCCAGCAGACGGCTCCTGCGACACAAGGGGGTGTGCGGGAAGGGGTCACTCTGCGACAGTGGGGCTGGTGGGCAGCAGGGGGTTGGTTCCCACAGCCCGGGAGACCCTCAGGGAAACCAGCAGAGGTCAGCGCGACCCCAGGCTCAGGGTGTGGGAAATACGCCAGGGACCACCGGCCAGTGACGCACTTCAGAGGGGACCCGGGTGCTCCCAGGTCAGAGGGGAACCCGCGGGTCCACAAAAGCAGCTTCCAAGTCTCCGGGAAAGGCCTGGGAGGGCTTGCTGGGAATTTCAGCAAAGAAGGGCCCCTGCCAGGAGGTGGGGCTGTGGTGACAATGCCAGCCCGGAGCCGGCAGGGAGGAGAGGGCGGGGTGGCAGGGCCAGCCAGGCACCAAGGCTCTATTTAAGCAGAAAGCAGGTGGCCTTTCCCCAAGATCCCCAGGCGGCTGCCAGGCAGAGGAGGGGGTGAGGGTTCTGGGAGGGAACAGGAGGCCAGGCGCACCCCGGGTGGCGCGACTCTCACCTGTCCCCTCCTCGCCAGCTTCGGGGCAGCTCAGGGAGGCACGGGCCAGGTTAACAGCCCCGTGCCTCAGAGCACCTGGGCTTGTCCCTCACCCTCACACACGTGGGGACATCGGCCATCTCCCCCGGACACGGGCTCAGGGGGTGGGAATCAGCCTCCTCTGCAGGCCGTGACCTCTGCAGCCAGGGGCTGCCCATCACCAGGTGACACCACGCCTGTGATTCGTGACCAAGAGCAGCTCCACTACTCACCCACCCGCATGAGGCTTCTCCAAATGTGGGTTTCCTTGCCAGAAACGGAGGGGCGGGTCCGTTTAGCAAGCCTGCATAAAGCGCCCACTATGTTCTCAACGCCACGATCAAAACACAGTCAGCCTCCAGGGGCCTGCATCTCACATGGGAGGGAGGAGGAAGTGATGAGGGGTGACCCGGGGCGGGGCCCAGTGCTGGGAGGAGGAGGACCTGGGATGAAGGGAGAACAGGGGTGTGGCAAGTCCTCACTAAAGGTCACAAATGATGACTCTAACGACCTCTGTCCAGACTACCCCCCTTAACAGCCCAGAGCGAAGCTCCGTGAGGCTGGGAGGACAACTCCAGAGCCAGCCGGGGCCTGAGTTCCAGTCCTCCCACTTCCTCCCTGGGTGGCCTGAGGCCAGTTGCTCGACCTTGCTGGGCCTTCGTTTCCTCATCAGTAAATGGAAGTAGGATTGTTTCTATGTGATGGTGTCGGGAGGATTTTGTTTTCTTCTTTCTGTGCTGGGGATGGAACCCAGGGGCACTTTACCACCGAGCTACAGCTCCAACCTTTTGCTTTTTAAGTTTTGAAATCGAGTCTTACTGAACTAATGAGGCTGCCCTGGAACTTGAGATCCTCCTGCCTCAGCCTCCCGAGTCGCTGGGACCCCACGTGCAGCACCCAGCCAGGTTTTGAAGATTTGACCCCCTCGTATTCGAGGGCCTGTAGCAGCGTCTGGAACACACCATCACAAGGGACTGTCTGCTGCGGCTGTGGTCATTAATTCTCGTGAGCCATCAGTACTTGCTCAGGTGAACTGGGGAGCCTCATTTTGGGGTGAACAGGAGGCAGCTGCACTCTCAGACCCCCTGCCTTTCTGCTCAGCAGGACCCCACCGTGATCAGTCGTGTGACAAAGTGACTTGGGAACCTTCGCAAAGACCTGAATCTCAGCCAGTGACATTTGTGAAAACCTCCCCTTGTGCTCTGGGCCCTAAGGTCACGACGCATCCCAGCACTTGGCACATAAATGTCACAAGAAAAGTCAAAGGGAAGAGGCCCCACCATCCTGCACCACCCTGAAAGGAGCTGACCTTGTTCCGCCTCAGGCCCAAGAGCCTGGTGCTGGCGGCCAGGGGGCTCGCGGGCCTGGCTCTGGCTAGGAAGCAGCCCGGGGACTCGGAGGAGGCCTGGTCAGCAAGGGAAGCCGAGTCCTAAACCCGCGGCGCTGGCCTCCTGCGTGGACAGGCTGCCCCTGCGAGGCCCGGGGACTGTGTCGCGCTCCTGGCCAGGGGCAGCAGAGTGCTCCCAGGGTGGGCTGGGGACAGATCTCCCAACTGAAGATCACCTGCAGGGTCCAGGGTGGCCCGGGCTGTAGCCCCGGGTGACTGTGCTCC